TCCTACCTTCCACTTTCTAAAAATCAATGGGAAAAATATCTTTGGGTCCGACTGGCATGGCTCAGTGGTTGAGCATATAGACCTATGAACCAGGAGGTCACAGTTCGGTTCTGATCAAGGCACGTGCCCCGGTTGCAGGCTGGATCCCCAGTGTGGGGCGTGCAGGAGGCAGCCGACCAATGATTCCCTCTCATCATTTAAAAAAATAAATTTTAGCTTTAAAAATTTAATCTTAAAAAAAAAAAAAGAAAAAAAAGAAAAAATATCAGGTAAGGATTTAAAAAATAATAAAGGATTTGGGGGATTAATGAGAGGATCAAATGAGATAATTGGTATAAAAGGGTTTAAATTAAGAGTGCAAGTCAATTTCAGCCTCTACTACAGACCTCAAAAGAAGTCGTTCCTACATATGACAGTGTGTCCTTCAGCCCAAAAGATATTTGACCCCTTCCCTTTCCCTTCCCCAAGCTAAGAGACCGAATTCCTTTCCTGCCCACTGGGCCTACCTTGTACTGCTGCACTTCCTCGTCGCGTTTTTGCCTCACAAGTGTGATCTGGTTCTCCAGGTTCCTGTTTAGCAGATGGAGCTGCTGGGCCTCTGCTTGCAGGGGCCTCAGAGCCTCCTTCATCTGCTGGATCTCTGCCTGGGTTTTCTGCAGGGCTTTGGCAGCGGCTTCTTTCCTCTCTAGGAGCCGCACCAGCTGAGGCTCATACTCCTCCTCCAGGCCCTGGCGGCTCTCTGCCACGAGGTTCTCAAACTGGGCAGAGAGCTGCCGGCTCTCCTGCAGGAAGTGTCCTTCCCTCTGGCTTGGAGGTGCTTCTATTTGCTGCCGTAACTGCTCCTTCTGCTTCTGATAGACATCCCGGAGCTGGGCCAGTTCCTCTGAGAGCTGGGCTGCCCGTGCGGTCAGCACTTCCCGGAAATCGGCAAACTGGGCCACGTCCTGCTGGCGGCACTCCAGCTGGTATTGGTAGGCCACACATTCCTTGGTCACCTTGAACAGCTTCTGCTTGACCAGGTGGATCTCCTCCTTTAGCCCGTCCCTCTCCAGCTCCGCTTGAGCATGCAGTTTGTAGGCATCCAGGATGTCCTGATGGACTTGTTGCACCTCCTGGAGAGCTGGTTCCCGGAGCAACACAAGCTCATGGATGAGCTGATCCCGCTCCTCTTCCAGCTGGGCCACAGCTTGGACACATTCCTGGAAACGCCCCTCGAGCAATTCTAGGTCCTCTATGCTCAGGCTCTCCTCTGTGCTGGGACTAGACCCGGCGCCAAGGCTCTCAGGGTTAGGCTTCTCTTCGTTTGTGACCGTCTCTCCCCCATAAGCCATCTGCTCTGGGCTTGTCTCCTCCAGCTTCACAGGCTCCTCCACACACAGTGTGTCCTCCTGCTTCACAGGCTCCTCCACACACAGTGTGTCCTCCGGCTTCACAGGCTCCTCCACACACACGGCCTCATTTGGCTGCCTGTTATCCTCAATATACAGTGTCTCCTCAGGCTGCTCAGTCTCTTCCAGATACAGTATGTCATCAAAGTCACCTGTGTCCCCCAGGAAGAGCATGTCCTCTATATTCAAGATTCCCTCCAAAGGAAAAGTATCATCCAGGCATTCAGAGTGTCCCCCCTCTTGAAAAGAAGTGGCCTGTGCTCTTGTTTCTCTGCAAAAGAAATGACTTAAAGTGAGAGGGCAACCACAATCCCAGGATGGTTCATGGCTGGAGCCATTAGGCCATAGACCTAAATCATATCAGCTTCTCACATCTCAGCACTTGTCTGCTCCCTTCCCTCCACTGACTCATCCCCTCACAGCCCATTGCTTAGATCCCCTGACAACATACCCATGATGTCAAAGTCTAGTCAGCTACATACCTTTAAGGCCAGGAAACTAACCACTATTTGTTTCGCTATCATAAAGTTCTAATGTTGAGGTAAAACCTTTTTCACCTGGACTTGATTCTTCTTTCTAGAATCAGAGAAGTCTAACTCCTTTCCCATGTAAGTTCTCTAAACACTTAACAAGAACTAACGTGTCTTTCAATTCCATGCGTGCCAAGTTTTCCAGGGCCTTCCTCATTTGGGTCACTTCTTTCCAACCAGGCTCCAAATTGTCACTGTCCCTTGGGGGTGGGTATTGGAGCAACACCCAGGTGTGCTCTAAGCAGTCAATCTCCGGACACTATTGATGCAGCCAAGATTCCCTTAGCATATAGGGCTGGCCCATCATGTTCTTGACAAATGCTGAGTTTGACTAAAATTCTTAAGACTTTTTCACAGCAAGTAAAGCCACATCTCTGTTCCTGTAAGATGTCAATCATCCTTCTAGCCTGTAAAGTCTCTTAGATTCTGTGAATCTAACAAACGAGCCCGATAACCCAGCTGCCCATTGCCTGCTAGCTCGATCAGTTCCTGTCAACGAATGCTCCCCTGTTCCTTTGGCCCTCAAGTGGCTTTGTTTTTCCTGTTTCAAATGCATCTCACCTACCTTGGATCTCTAAGCAATTCCTTGAAATTATAAAATACCATGGAAATAATAATTATTATAGAGGTCTTATGTGTGCCAGGCCCTGTTTTAAATGCTTTATGTATGTCAACTCATTTAATCCTCATAACAATTCTATGAGGTAGTTAATTACATTTATCCCCATTTTACAGATCAGGAAACTGAGGGTAAAGCGATTAAGTACTTTACTCAAAAAAACTGATATTTAATGTATACCAGTTATAAAACAAACTAAATTTGACTATTGCTTTCAAGAAACATTTTTTAGACATAAAGGATAAGTAAAAGTAAAAAGTTCCATCTATGAAAGATTTTGATTGCTCTGTTTTGAAAAGGCCTACTTGTGTCCAGGTTTTAAGCTCTATATCTTATTCCAAGTTCCCAATAAAGGTTATTTTTACTCTAAATCATCCTGTACTCTGTCCTCTCTAACACCCCGGGAATCCCTGGGTTTCCTTTGTTTTCTCATGTTGGCCCTCTGGAAACAACAAAAGTATGGTTTCATCAGGCCCCAAACATCACTGGCCTCCTTCAACCCAGCACCCACACCAAAACCTAAAGTTCCAAGACAACCTCGACAGTCACCTAGTCCATTCACATCACTTTACCAGAGAGAAAGTGCTTCTTAGATATCTTTACCAGATGTTACTTTGCACCTCAAACTCAACTGCCCTAAATTATTATTCTCCTTGAGCTTGCTGCACCTGTATTCTCCAGCTCAGTGAAACACATCACCAGCTTGATGAGACAAGAAATCTTTAAACATCTCTTCCCTCCCCTATACAGCCAACTTACCGAGAACTAACCCTTCTGTCTCCCAAAGTCTGCAGTCCCCATCCCCCTCTCCATCCACTGCCAGGGCCCTAGTCCAAGTCATCATCTCTCACCTGCGAATCTGTGCCAGCCTTCCAACAGGCCTTCTCATCCTAGTCTATGCTCTACAACTTGCTACAACAAAAAGCAAACTATGTCGCCCTACGTCACCGATAGATAACCAACTGCATAGCAGAGATTCAAGGCCCTTAAAGATTTAGCCCCAACATACCTTTCAGCCTCATCTCACGCCCCAGGAGCCCACCCAATGCTTGACCATCTGGAACATGCATTACCTTTTTATACCTTCTACCCCAGGCCCACAATGTCTAAAGGACCCAGCTGAGGAAATACTGCTCTCTGTACACCACCCGACTAGAGAATAGTTCTGGAAAGGTAGAGCTCCCAGTGCCCAGGAAGGATGCACCTGCTCAGCCAGCCAGAACCCACCCTGATCCTCAGCAGCTAGCAGGCGGACCCGAGATCACCCTCCTGCGGAGTCCTCCACCCTGGAATGACGTAACTGTGTTCATGGCAGTATTCCATGCATTTTACATGAATACTCCTTTTCAGGATGCTCATCTATTATCCCCATTTTACAGATGAGGAAACCAAAGCATAAACAGAGTAAAGAATTCACTAAGGTTCCACTCCAGAGCCAGAGCTGTTTTTGTTTTTTATTTATCTTTGTGTTTTATTCGGAGCTCCTTTGGACCACTCAGCTCTTAGAATAGGCATGAGGTCTAAGAGAGGTCAAACAATGAGGGCAGGTACTCTAGAGCTTGGCCCACAGCATTCAAAGTGTATTTGTATATATTTGCCTAACAAATTTCTCCTCCTCATTCAAGCCCTGCTAAAGTCCATCTCGGTGAAGTGTTTCCCAGACCACCCCAGAGTGCCTGGCATTCTTAAGGCACGTTGTATGCAGCTCATCTTTGCACTTAGTGCTCTGTGCTATAAGAAGTGCATGTGTCTGTCTCCTGTGATACTCCATTTTCTAAGGACAAGTAAGTTCTCTTTCTCTCTGTATCCCAGGGTGGGGCTCTGTGGAAGGAAGGAAGGCAGAAACCGACTGAGGTCCAAGGAGAAAGCTTGCCCAAGGTCGAGTAGCGAATCTGGAAGTAGAACCCAGGCCTCCTGACTTTCCAGGTGCTGCTGTTAACATACACCATGTTGTCTTAGTCACCCCGCCCACAGTGCCAGGCCTCGGCTAGAGGCTGCCCTCACACAGCTGCCTCTCTGTAAGGACGCGGGAAAGTAGATTATGGGAGGCCCAGGGGCAGGGGAGCCAGTTCAGCTGGGGCCGCTGACCTGAGGCTTCCTTGGCCCCAAACAGCCTGCCTCTGCCACTCTGTCCCCAGCGGACTCCAGCAGCACCCAGCTCTGTCCATTAGGGCTGTGGCTGTAAGTGTTTGTGATACTGTGCAGGCATGAGTTGGTGTGTGTCTGACTCCGTGTACCTGTATGTGTGTATGTGAGTTGGTGTGTGTCTGACTCCGTGGACCTGTATGTGTGTATGTGAGTTGGTATGTGTCTGACTGTGTACCTGTATGTGTGTATGTGAGTTGGTGTGTGTCTGTGTACCTGTATGTGTGTATGTGAGTTGGTGTGTGTCTGACTGTGTACCTGTATGTGTGTATGTGAGTTGGTGTGTGTCTGTGTACCTGTATGTGTGATGGCAGTAGTGGTGAGGGTATGTGTAAGACTGTTCAGCTTTGCGCTGTGTGTGACAGTGAGGGGTGTCGGGGGGTGTATTTGCACCTCCACCTCTTGGTACATTGGGGAGCCCAGGGCTACAGTCTGACCCGGGGTTCCTCAGCCACAGGTCCCTGCCCTCTAACCAGCTGGCTGTGGATGGATGCAGGAGGGCCTCAGCTCCGGGGCCCTCCTGCTCTTCTGCGATGGTAGACCCTGCACCCCCTTTTCAGGCCCCGGACAGCTGGGGACAAGCTGCCTGAACAGACTTAACTCCAAGCTGGCAGATGCCCAACCTTGCACCCAGAGTCTTCCTCAGCGAAGGCAGGAGGCCTCCACCTCCAGTTGTATTTGGGGTGAAGACTGAAAGAAACAAGTAACGCTTTGGCCGCTATGGGCCAAATGGCAGTTGGCGGTTGAAAGGGTTAATTCTCACATGGCCCGAGGAAGGGGAGGGGGCATTATAAAAAGCCGCTGACGAACGGAGGTGCCAGGACCCTGAGCGGGGACCCCTCCCCATCTCCCTTCGCTGGTGGCTCCGCCCCGCGCCATGCCGCACCCCGCTGGTCCCCTACCCCCTCCAGGCA